GTAGCATAATACACACTGAAAAATGCCTCTAGTTGCGTGACTTAAAAAGAATGGTCCCTTCTTCGTGCTTTTTCTGAATTTTACATCTTACATCTGTAATCCTGAAATATTATCAACAACTATAGACAGATTAAAATATTGTAAGCTTTGAAATGAATGTTGTGTATACTTGAATACTTTAAGTGTTCCTTTTTTGGTAACGAAATCTTCAATAAATAAGTCTAAGAAAAGAAAAAATTAACAATACAACTCCTCGAATACGATTAGATTTACTTATTCATTGTTATTTGTTTATTTCTCCAATATATTTAACATTTTCTTCGACTTATTTATTCGAGAAAATATTCAATATATTTATCACATATGTTTAGACAACTTCTCGAATACGAAAACAACGATTAGATTTATTTATTCATTATTCGTTGATTTCTTGATTTCTTGACTCACTTAACGAAGAAAATATTCGACACGTGTGTCACATTTATTTAGAAAATGTCTCGAATACGATTAGATTTATTTATTCATTATTATTTGTTGTGTTGAATATTTTCTTAAACTTATTTATCCAAAAAAATATTCAATACATTTATCACACATGTTTAGACAACTTCTCGAATATGAAAACAATGATTAGATTTATTTATTCATTATTCGTTGATTTCTTGACTTGTTGATTTATTTAACGAAGAAAACACTCAACACGTGTGTCACATTTATGTAGAGAATTTCTCGAATAACGCGTCGACAGTCCAAGAGACTCTTAGGATCCTCGAGACCCGATTGGCTGTTAAATTCTAGGTAGCTCGCGAATGATTATGAAGCACTCAGACGTCTCGGTCTCGCCGCTGAATGGAAATCAATAGTTGTAAAATTATTCGGAGCGAGAAGAATAGACGAGTTGCATTGTTCCACAGGAATCTTTCTTATTACCATGGTATTTCTGTATAATACACGTCGAGGTATTCGCGACATCGACAGATTCCTTTTCCCCCGTGCCTGATATTTGAGGTCCGCTGCCATCTGTAGCAACATGCATTATATTTCAGGCGGACTGTACACGGAGAACGATCCATCAAATCCTAAGATTAAGGCTCCACACGCATTTCCATCTCATCGCCTTGGAAGTTATTACTTCGGAATGTCAACTCCCGATACGTCGTGGAAACAGATTGCCGATATTTATCTAATCCGTGTACACAAGCCGTGTACACTAATTGAAGTCGTTCTAAGCTGCGTTCGCGAAACTCCATCGATTACTAACTTTAAGGGAAAAGTTCAGCGCGCGATAATTAACCCCTTGGCTTTCAATAACGCCTGAGACTTATCATGAAGGTTTTTAATAGAATTTAGCAAAAATAAATATTACTCGAATATTTATTCTTGCGAATTCGAATGAAACATGTTTCCGTTATCAATGATTATATTTCAGAGCAAAGGCGGACGTAGAATGTGCGTATAATTTCTCTCATTTTTTAATGCATTATTAATCACAAAGTTAGTGTATTCATCACATTTGAGAGATAATGATTTATGAATTGTCTTATGAATTATAATTGTTTTCAAGTCATTTCGAAGTTCTGGTCCCATGGGACCGTTATGTCACCGAAAGTGTAAAGATTCAGGTTATATTCTAGAGAAGTTATGTTTTTTAAGTAGTTATTGCATAGTTATTGTTAGAAGAGACAAGCAACACTTTGAAATGAGACAGATGCAAATATGTTAGTATCTACATTTCACTGACTAAAATGACCGTTGTTATCGTGTTTTTGTTATTATTATTTAGTTAATCTATTTTTAACAAGTTTTGGCTTCTAAATTCTTTAAATACAAGTACAAAAATTCATATGGAATCAAAGTATTTGGTAACACAAGCAGCTAGATAATATTATAACACGAGTACCGTTATAATAAATAATTAATAATTATTTCTAATACCATTTTCCTTCGTTACGAAAAAATAAGTGTAATCAAAGAATGTCTAAAAGTCTCGTGATAATCAACGTGTGAACCCTGATTCACTGTTTATCTGGTTAGAAACTTTTAGACGTTCTTTGATTATACTTATTTTTTCATAACGAAGGAAAATGATGTTAGAAATAATTATTAATAATTTATTGTAACAGTACTCGTGTTATAATATTATCTAGCTGCTTATGTTACCAAATACTTCGATTCGCCATAATCAACGTGCGAACCCTGATTCGCTATTTATCTGGCCAGAAACTTTTGAGCGCTACTATGCATAATAGAATGAAACGTTGTCAACTGATTCACAGTGGAACTGGCAATTTCCCAATGCATATTATATGTTCCTTCTGACTCACAAATTGCTGACCAGCTTTGTCACCATTGGCAACAGAGACACTATGTAGTTGGCAGCCAATAAAATCATCGTAAAACCGTAGCCAATGCGTTCTAGGTTCGTGTGACGTGAACCGAGAAGTGAAGTTATACGATGTAGATAAGGACAACTCGTTACACTCGAGAGTATGTTTCACTCTGCTTCGGCACTTAAACAACCGAGAGCATGAAATCTCGCCTCCCGCAGCAATCGTGTCGTGAAAAGGAACCCCGCAAGTGCAAAGCGTCTATGAGCACCTTCCGATTTATAGCAATGCCTGCCTACAATCAGATACAGTCACTAACAAAACCATTCGAACATTATGCATGCTTAGGCGCGATAAATGTTCAACGGTTCGTTTCCACGTTGCTAACAAGGGGACCTTTTCAACTAGCACAACTTGGTCTTGATAAAACTTCTGTGATAGATAGTTCTAAAGAAAATATTTCACGCTTATTGTTTCTGATCAGTTAACATTCAGTTTGAAGAGATGAAAATAGCTCTTAAAGTTGAGGGTTGGAAGCTATTTCTTGATATATCTCTGTACCAAGGGGTGCAGGCAGAAAATTTTCTTTTTAAATTGTTCACCTTGGAATGAACAATTTAGATTTCTTTTCTACTCTTCATAGTTGAGGGTTGGAAGTATATTTTTTATATCTCTAAAACTACGGGGTGCAGACAAGAAATTTTCTTTTTAAATTTTTCACCTCGAAATGAACAATTTAGATTTCTTTTCTACTCTTCATAGTTGAGGGTTGGAAGTATATTTTTTATATCTCTAAAACTAGGGGGTGCAGACAGGAAATTTTCTTTTTAAATTATTCTCCTTGAAATGAACAATAGATTTACATTAGATTTCTTTGCTACTCTTGAAAGTTGATGGTTGAAAGTATATTTTTTATATCTCTGAAACTAGGGGGTGGAATAGAAATTGGAACTGTTCATTTTGAGGCGAACAATTTAACACTAAAGATCCACCGATGAACAATTTTTGTCTGAACTTAACCGTGTTGGCTTCTGACTCAAATATTACTAAACGCTTGTCAATTATTACATTTGCCTTGTGCCTTTGTAATCATATTTTCCACAGGAATGATTGTTACATGATTAATACTTAAAAAATAAGACGATCAGTGTAATACTTCACTAACAGAGTCGCTCAGAAGCCAATTTTTTGATACTTTCTAATTTCTCTAAATTTCAATGAAATAAATAATCTTTTTTGAGTTATCAAAGGATTTGCTCGTTCGTTCATTTTTCCTAGCTCAGAAAGCCCTTCTTATAGCTTCTGAATATATCGTATAATCATTTCAAAACTCAGAACACGAATTTCCTAAATTTTTATTCTCTGAACCTAACCGTATTGGTTTCTGAACGACTTACACATAACCATAACATACAAATTTTACAAACAACATTCTTTATATCCACTTTTACTTCTGATTCCTTCGTTTTGCTTCCCCGCCATTATTCAGTTCTGAATTTTCTCGCCACAGTCTCTCTGCCTAACCTTCCTTTTGCATTCCTTATCTCGCGTCTACAATTCTTTTTCTCTTTAAATCGTTCCATATGCTACCTTTACCTATCCCCATCTTTTCCTCTTTTCATCTGCTATTTTTCTTAATCTTCGTCTCCATACCCAATGATCCTCTATTCTGCCTAACCTCCTTTCCAGTCCCTTTTTCTCCGAAATTATCATTTCTTTATCTTCCCCCGTCTACGGCTTCGCTGTTACTGTTCTACGCCTCTTCGACTCTCGTTTTCCTGTAGTAAAATACCATCCATTGAAACAGACGATGGGAGAAGTCGCAGTGAAATTTATTAAACAATGAGAAGATATTACATTCTTCCTTCAAGTTTCTCGTGAATATCCGCGATTATGTAGAAGAATGTTTATTATCCTAGCAGACTAATATTTGTTCTTCGTTCTATTTGTTAACGATATCATAATTACATCGTGTATAAGTAAGTTAGTTAGTTAGTTAAACTATAGATAAGTCAAGTTCATGGAAGTTTCAAATTGAACAACTGAAAACACCCAGTAGCCGAAATTTAGCCGGACGTACAATGTGTTACGACAAATTTGCGTAAATAACATTAACCGCTTGCTTCTTCATTAAATATGGAGAATCTATGCGTAAAAGTGTTGTTTAAACTTCTTACATTACGTAACAAAGCGAACTTTCCTGAAATAGTTGTATTATCGAAATTTTATAGACATTACTGAACACCTGATGTTCGCGACAGAAGTTGACCATCTTCTAAAACGAGAAAACTTAATTGACCATATGTCAGTTAACAGTTGACCACTTACAAAACCAAAAACACTAAAGGTGATTACTTAAATATCCTTTATTTCTCAAAAACAGTGATATACTTAAGTAGTCCTATTATCCAAATTCTACACACATCGTCGAGTCACAAGCTGACCATCCTCTAAAACAAGAAAACTAATAAGAAACCATATTAATTACCAACTAACATACAAAACCAAAGACACTATAAACTTCTCCCATCTGAAAAAACCTACTAAGACCACAGAAACGAGCACCCACCGAATTCTTCGCCAGCCACAGGAAATTGTCAAGCAACGCTACCAAACGGAGTAGCATCGGCAAATACATATACAAGCACTCCCCTCACGATTCCTCTATTCCAGGTACATAACGTACACCGCGCGAAGTAACCTGTCTTACGTCTCGTTTGCCTCGGCAACAATTAGCCAAGTCGGTTGCGGCCGTGCAATTTACACAGCAGGGCCAGGCGAGTCGACTCGTCGAGGAGAGTTCGGAATGGCCGGGCGCACAACACCCCCAGGAATCGGGGATCGAGTGGAGGCCCTCGTGTGCAATTACGGCCCTCTCGATCGAAAGACACCGGGGGAGCTCTACGAAGACGGCGCGCCGGCTCTTTGTCCACGGGGGACGGTCCGTAGTTCACGATACAGAGCCCTCTGTCGTAAGTGTTTCATCCCCGATCCACCACCACCACCACCCCCCTTTACCGAAACCGCCTGTCTTCTGTGTGTTCAGCTGCGCGCGATTGTTGTCGCTTCCTCTAGCCACGCTCGTTACCTTCCTCGGATACACGAACCGGTTAACAACGACGAATTTCAGCTACGAGCAACGGGAGAATCGTTCTCGACGCGCATTCCAATTGCGAGCCACGCGAGAGCTTTGTCGCTGTTATTACAACACCCGACAGTACGCTGCGATTGATTTTTACGGGAGATTTGTTCTTAGAGAGTCGAACCTATGGGCAGCGATGACTTTCAGATGATTCTTTGATTTCTGTAGTGTGACAGGGAGGTATATGGTACAGTTTGTTAGATTTCTGTGGATCTTTGTATTATCGAGGGAAGTGTGGAATTACTTGCTGATCTCAGTGATCACAAAATGAAATTAAAGGCGCACATTCAAGTGGATTCAGGAAAAAATAATTCGTGAACGAAAGGGTTAATTATTTATTCGCATCGAATTCTCTGTGATGCTTTAACACTAGAACTACCAAATGGGTCAACATGGCCCGTCCCCAAATTCGTTTTTTCAGTTATTAAAAAGGAACGCATGCTTCTCTGGGAAATAAAGTAATGAATCTGATGCAGAAATGCGCAGGCTGAATTATAAACCAATTGAAATCTCAATAGATGCACTGTTAGGATTTATATAGGAAAATTCGAGAATTTAATTCTTTGGTAGTTCTAGTGTTAACGAGATTAAGCTGGATACATTCTAAACTTCCTCACGAAATAGATAACCAAACTAAGTTAGAAAAAGCTAAACTATAAACTAATTGCAATGTGAATAGATGCACTATTAAGGTTTCTATTGAAAAATTCAGAAATTCAATTTAATTCCTCGATAGTTTTAACGCTATTCCTACCGACACTCCACGTATACCTATTCCTACCGCGACCAGTCAAATGACTGGTTTTTAGCACAACTTATATTTTTTAATATAGAATGAAGATAATAGCCAATTTGACAGTGTACAAATACAGTTTCTTTTATTTAGAAGTATATCATGTACATTTTATTCCTTTTCACCGCATTTTCTACAAATAGGTTTGTCGATTGTACATTTCCCACACACGTACTTTTTACATTTTAGACAGATGTTGTTAGTCTTATTGTCCGTGCAATATCTTATTTGGCATTGTTTCCGTTCGCGTGAACCTGTACTTGTATTTGTGAGGGGTGTTGCTTGATTTTCTTTGCCTAACTCTAGTTCTTTTTGACATTCAATGGCAAGTTCATCTGCCAATTGTAATAAAAATTCCTGCCTCGAAATTTCTTCTCCCGTGGATTCTTTATACAAAATCCATGCATTTATCCCGGCTAAATTTAGGATATAGGAAAAGGCGATCCAATTACGTTGTCTACAGGAAATTCTAATCGAAATTTTAAAAACAGTCATTTGACTGCTCGCGGTAGGAATAGTGTTAATGTTAACGAAATTAAAGTAGATACATTCTAAACTTCCTTACGAAATAAATAACGAAACTAATTTAGAAAAAGCTGAACTACAAACCAATTGAAATCCGAATAGACGCACTGTTAAGGTTTCTATAGGAAAATTCGAAAATTCAATTTAATTCCTCGATAGCTTTAATGTTAACGAGATTAAAGAGCTAGATACTTACTAAATTTTCTCACGAAATATGTGCTGGCCGATGACGGGAAAAGGGAAGAGAGGAAAAGAAGAGGAATCGGTTGTATCAGAAAAGTTTCAGAAATGGATGTCGCGCAAGGTAAACCGGAGAACCGAACGGAACCAAAAGGAAAAAGCCGAGCGGACGGTAACCAGCGGCACATTCCCAATTAAACGTGCAGTTTATCTTGTTCAGCCAGTGTTATTATTACTGGCACGCCTGTCGACGTGATCACCACTTATCGTACATCGCCGATTAAACGTTGCCCGGCGCAGCGCTATCAATAAAATTCGTATTCCACAGGTAAATCGATTTTATTGTTTGCGCACACACGTGCAGGATTCATATATGTAAGTTATGAGGAATTGATTTCGTCCCGTGCTTCCCTCAAAATCAACCGATTTATATCAATGATTTATCAATGAATCGTTGTATTTTGTTTAATTAACCTGTTTTAGTGCCGAGCACCGTGACAAACGGATAGTTTACGTTCGATACGTAAATGATATTAATGCAATCTCATAGGAATGTTTACAGTGCTTCGTTAAAGAAAATAATGATTCAATTATTTTTAAACATGAATTTATATAAATATAAAAATCTACGTGTAATGTTTATTTTAACGTGTTAATATTGAAAGTACCGAACGGGTTGAAATTATTTATTCCTGATTTCTTCTTTTCGCAATTATTAATATTTTAAGTATGATGCGCCGTTATATGGTGGCTTCCAATCTGTTTCAACGCGTAAAAGAATCTTAATAGTATTTACCCAATTGTAACTAATAGTAGTAATCATAATAAAATAATAATGATCCTCCGTTTCCAAAGAAAATGAGTTTTAAGTTTGCATGGGACTAATAGATTAGAAGAAGCCTGCAACGATCTTTTCTTTGTTCGTTTTCCTTTGAATTATAATCGCTAATTATTTTATTATTGTAATATCATTGTATTTTATTATTGTAACATCATGTTAAAATATCAGTTAAAATGTCAATTAAAATATAAATTATTATAATACCATTGTATTTTATTATTGTAACATCACTCTATTTTATTATTGCAATATCATTATACTTTATTATTCTAATATCATTGCATTCCATTACCGTAACATCATCATACTTTATTATTGCAACATTATTTGTCTTATTGCAGTAGCGTACAAACCAGAAACCCATTTTGTTCGAAAACGGAGGACCATTGACAAAAAACACACGAGGGTTTTTCATTCCCAGATATGCATTTACTACAACATGCACGGAGTTTCATTAAAACTCAGATTTCCATGTCCGTCCCCGTCCTTGTTAGTGGCAATAGACACAATTATCCGTGAGATCTTCTACGCGAAGCTGAACAAATTTATTCGTCTTGCGATCGTAACTCTCCCTACGTTTATTAACCGATAAACCGGCGAGCTATCGAATAAAATCCACCACTAGTTTTAGAATATTGCTTTTCGATAATGAACGCCGCCGCAGCATTAATGACCGCCACCTACCCATTCATTAGTAGCCTGCGTCTATCGCGGCTAGCTTATTAACGTTTTCGCAATCGATGACATATTAGCGCCGATCAGATATTACGCGGAATAACACACAGACGCGTGCGCATACACACAGACATAGAACAAATTCTGTCATCTTCAATTTTACTGTTACATTATCTTATTTTTCTTATGAGTCACTTATTTACAAGCTGTTCATCATTGAATCCCTCGGAAACCAATGCGGTCGATTTTTTTATATTTCCTGATTTTCCTAAATTTTCATGGAATAAATAATATTCTATCGTTGCGAAGGGTATCCGTTGAAAAGACTTTATATACTTTTCTGATCGAATTAATGAACTGAAAATTCTAGACTAATTTATCAGGAAATATGAATTCTCTTGATTTTTGCTTTCTGCACTTAAGCATTGGCTTCTGAGCGATATTGCTCATAGATGCAGAATAATATGAATGTTGATTAGTTCTAAGAAGTTGTGACTATTGCGTCTTTGTTTAAGTATTAATAATATTTTGATATACCTAATATTTAGGTATGCTATATATATATAAAAAAAAATTGTCAAAATATTGTATTTTTATTATATAATATTTTTATTAGATAAAATATTTAGGTATGTATATATAAAAAAAATTGTCACACCTAAATATGAGGCATATCAAACTATTGTTGTTGTTGTTGTTGTTGTTGTTGTTGTTGTTATCATCATCATCATCATCATCATCATCATCATCATCATCATCATCATCATTATCATTATCATTATCATTATCATACAGAAATAAATCAATAAAAATGTTTGGTAACATAAGCAGTTAGATAATAGTCTAACATACTGTGATACTAAATCGTTAATAATTGTTTCTAATATAATTTGCCGCTGTTATGGAAGAGTAGATATTACTACACAAAATATTCGAAATTCTCGTTGCAGTCGACATGTTAACACACGTCGAACAATGAATATTTTCAGCTGTTGTTATCCGCCACTTTTCCAGCTTGATCGGTTCCCACAGCACCCGCCATCCGCATCAACATATATCGTTGACGGTTTTTTTTCTGTATTCGCATACAACTTTTCGCAGTAAAATATAGATACTCGAACCAGCTGCAAAAACAGCAGAACCGCAAAGCACAGAAGCAATAAAGAAGAATATTAAAATTGAAACAAGTTTATATTTTGCAAAATTGGTAGGTTAAGGCTGTTGTTAGTAGTTTGAAAAGAATTAGTTTCCACGGCTGAAGTAAATAAGTAATGTCCCTTCAGAGGGATACAAAAGAAGTAAAACGTATTTATATTCATAGTGCACATTATACAGTGGCAAAGCATGATTGATTAAAGTCGCCGCCGCAACGTCTAACAGCACAACGCCAGCCTGGTACATATCGGGCCATCATTGACATATTTACAACTATCGTCCATTTAATATCACAGCTGCAACACGACATTCAGCTATCCACTCGTTGGACGTGTATGTATTAAACTTGTCAGTTATCGTCTATCTTATAAAAATGTTGAAATCCGTAGTAATTAGATAATGGGTATGTAGGCTATAATTAAATAGGTAATGGGTATGTAGACTATAATTAATATTTATGTAAATTAAGATTTTGAAGAATATAATCAGGAATAGCGTTAAATAGATAAATAGGTAATAGCCGCGTAGACTATAATTAATTAGCATGTATACTGCAGATATTTATACAATTGAAAATTTCAAAACATACAATCAGAGAAACAAAGTTATTTATTCATACGACATCTAACCATTTATAGAAAATCGTTTTTCTCAACAAATATATCTTTAGCACTTACAAAAAACCACAACACTTTGGGCATTCCACATATTTCCGCGTGTCACGCGCATTCTATGAAATTTCTTGTTTCCAGATTTCCCGTAAATACATAAAACTCCGGTCTAATGATTAGACACATTCTATCAAACTGCGTTGATGTGACCGGTTAGGCCACGCGCAAGAAAAATGTGCAGATAACGATCACTGTCGGTCAACTAGAAGGCGGGGATTTCAGGGAATTCCAGCGTTGGGCGCATGCAATACGTTCATTTCGAGCTGCCAACAGTAGGTCTGTCATTTTCAAACGGCGATTTCTTTAATTACTTCGGCTCTTCTATTGTAAACGGAACAGCTTATGCAATGCGCTATACGTTAATCGCAAGCCACATTGCGCAGCCACAAAATGCGATTGGCTCCCTTATCAACCCTCCCTTATCCGCGTTGGCAGAGTAATATTATTGGATCACACACGCAGCTCGCTGATCTCCCATTGGCGCGGAGCTAAATACTCTATAATATGAACTCACCCCTTCTAATAATATGTATCAACCCTCCTATAGACAGATAATTGCGACATTTACCGTATTTGGGAAAAATATGAACCACATTGTATACTGGTAACGAGTAATGTTGGTTTTGCACGAACACTTAGCTATAATTTTGCTAATTAGCAGAATATCGAAGAGAATGTTAAATTTGATTAGAATTGATTGTGTATTTTATATGTATTACATAACAATATTATATTTGAGCTTTTCTGTATATAGTGACGTAAATTGTTAACATTAAAATATTGTTAACATTAACTATATAAGTAGTGCAATGTGTTAGTATCGAAGACACTTAGCTGCGGAACTTTGCTCATTAGCAGAGTATTGACAAGGATATTAAATTTAATTAGAATTGATTGTGTATTTTATATGTATCACATAACAGTATTATATTTGAGCTTTTCTATGTATAGTAATGTAAATTGTTAACATTAAAATATTGTTAACATTAACTATATAAGTAATGCAATGTGTTAACATTGAAGACGCTTGGCCATAACTTTTCTAATTACCAGAAATAGCTGAAATCTTTCGAGAAGTGAAAGGTTGGAGTTCAAAGGGTTAAGTTCATTTCTTGATATTTTCTGATCTCCCTCAATTTTACTAGAACAAATAATATTCTTTTCGGTTATTAAAGGGTTTACTCATTTCTTCTTTTGTTTTTAGGTTAGAAAAGCCTTCTTATAGCTTCTGAATATGCTGTATAAACTTATTATAAAATTATTATAAATATTATAAAATTGTTATACAATATATTCAGAAGCTACGAAAAGTTAGCAAGAAAAAGATACAAAAGAAATTCAAAATGGAAAGGGTTGAAATCAAATGATTAAATGAAAGATACGGTAGATCACACGCACTAGACTCTCGCGTAACACTTTCTTAGACTACCCTTTGACTTGGTTATTCCCTTGGTTGCAACGCGTTTTCCCTCCCTACGCGTACATTATACATCCATCTTGAATTAATTAATGCGACTTTCAGATTGAATGAACCCTTAGATATCCAGCCGTGAAACTGTTCACCGCGATAGGGGGTTCACAGCGGCGCTTGTGTCGGTGTTACGTTGATTTCTACTCGGTGAATTTACTAGGTCATTACTTTGAATCAGCCGTAAGGATTTGATCGTGCAATTAAGCAGCCGTGACGAAGCGACCCCGGCAAAAAATATATAGTTCCGACAGGTCGAGCGATAATTGAAAGAGACACGCCGGAAGAGAATGGAACGAGACGGTTGATGAATATTTCAGCGAGGTTCCAGGAAGAATTACGAGGCGGAAAAGGGGCCTGTGAAGAGGGTCGCCGGTAGAGTGTGCAGGAACGTGTCACCGTGCACAGGGAAATCGACGTTTCGCGGGACAAACACTTGTGCCTGATGTTATTTTGTTGTTTGCGCGATGTCAAAACGTTCGTAACATTCCGACTCGCTCCCTTATAGCGGAACATCGTTCGATCGGTAGACCGGCGTCAATAGTTCCTAGTATTTCGCTGATGCAACTATGCAAAGGTAAATTGTGTACTCTAAGTACTCGATACAGGGGGTGGGTCTGTGTTTTTTTGACGCGTTCACGGGTAGGTATGGGAAATTTGAGTGTTCGTAATGAAGGCAAATGGGAGATGCTAAAGTTAATGTTAATGTAAAATGGCTCTGTGTGAGAAATGACTTACATCATTCAAATCGTCAAACGCCTATTTTTTCAATTGTCTTTATCGGTTTATTGAATCTTACAGAAAGCGTTATTTAACTATTCTTAGTCATAGAAATAATACAAATTTCCTAGGCCAGATTACATCTCCTTACGTTTTACGAAATATCGATATTTCGATAAGTGAAAATTTTCATGTTTCGAAGACTAAGTCGTAAACAAATGATTTAATTACTCAAACAACAAGAGATCAGCACGTAGTTTTTGTTTTTTCTATTATTTAAGCAAGTAATATATATTTTCGCTTCATCTGCAGAAGGTTTTGTACATTTCAAAGAATCTTCCTCTGCAAAGGGTTAATACCAAGTATACACATACATACAGACACATATATACATTAAACGTTGTTCGGATATAAAGCAGCTAGGGACCACATGCAATTACGTCGCCTTAATTGGAAGCGTCAAGTGTTTGCGCATCTCTAAGGAATTATTGTTTACCGACTGAATTAGTTCCCCTGTGTTACCTCTTGGAAGAAAAGCGAAAAGTCATTAGGGGTGGGAAATTCCTGCGTAAAATCAAACCCTTCGAGACATGACACTTAACGCGTTCCCATGGGTCAATGGGTCAATATTTAACTTGTTCTTTCCGTTCCCTTGTTTCTCTTGCCAAAAATTAATAACTTTATTTGAAGATTTTGACATCTTTGTGTCTTTTTTACGAAATTATGTTGCTTCAAAGAAACATTTATTTATAGCATTGAAATTTTCGCCACTTCAATTAACATTAAATGTTAATTTAAGTTTCTAAAATTCAGAGCTTTCGAATTACTTAATTCATTAATTAGTTAATTAATTCCTACGCATCATTGTACGGTTTATCACAAAATTATAATATTGAACTTTTAATCACCTCAACTAACATGTATTAGATTTTAATTTAAATTTCTAAAATAAAAAGTCTTCCAGTTACTTAATTAATTTACTAATTCCTACACATCACTGTGTGGTTTATCACAAAATTATAATACTGAAGTTTCAGTCATCTCATGTAATTCAATGGGTATTCAACTTTAATTATATTTCTAAAATAAAGTCTTCCAGTTACTTAATTAATTTGTTAATTCCTACACATCATTGTATTGTTTGTCACAAAATTATAATATTAAAGTTTCAGTCATCTTATGTAACGTGTATTCAATTTTAATTTAAATTTCTAAAATAAAAAGTCTTCTGGTTACTTAATTAAGTAGTTAATTCCTACACATCCGTATCGTTTATTACAGAATTACAACAACATCTAGTTAATTCACAAGTCTTGATCAATGAAACAGTTTCCATTAGTTGTATTAACTGTAAATATAGTTACTGTTATTTATCATGTTATCATTCGACAAAGATAAGACGTCTCTACAGCAGCAGAAACAGGAACTCGTACAAGTTGAACAACGAAAGTTGCTGACTCAAGGCCTGAACGTGTATCTTCAAGAAGGAAAAAATAGGAAAAATAGGAGAAACGCGTTCTTGAAACTTACGTTACTTCGGAACAGCTGATAGATGGAGGAAAGGACACACCATAGATGCTTAAAGGAAACTTCTACACGGGACAAGCGAGCAATCAACTTTGAAAAAATTAGACTGCATATTACGAAATCTTTTAGCTGTACGCACCTTTGAATTTCAAAATCAATGTTACTCCAAACTTAATCTATTTTTATAAATTTATTCACGCAAATCCATGATTTTTTCTTGAAAAATATTTACTTATTTATTAACGTTTTACGATAACCATCGATTAAAAATGGTCGTACGAAAACAAAGTATTATACTATTAGATCGTATTTTGTTTAAATTAAAATGATAAATCGATATCGAAATGAAAAATTGATTCTTCAGTGGTACACGTATAAAGAATAATAAAATAAAGGGCATTGTTCAATTTCAAAGCTTCAATTATAAATTTATATTCAAATTAAAAATTAACAATGAATTGAAATGAAAGATAAATTAAAATAATTCTTGATCCAATATCACCTACCATCGAATACATAAAAATTACGAATACATTCTTGAATTAAAGTTGCAAGGCGAACAAGATACAAATATTTTGGACAATCTCATTAGCAGAATATTTTCGTTTGGTGATTAATTAAGACAAAATTCACGATTCACAGATTTGACATTAACAATGTCCGACATACAATTTCCTGTCTATTCCTGCTTAATACGAAAGATAGGTTAACTTCATGATTAGGTTCTTCACAGCAAGCAAGATGAGATTTCCCTGTATCTTCAGTGCAACGAAAGGTAGGATTGATTTACATGAAAAATTGTGCTGTTCATTCGAATAATACTATCATCACTTTCCGGTAGAGAAAAGTTACCGTTCTGCTCTTACAGTGGACGTTATGTTTAATATTCCAACGATATTTTACATAGTTCATCAAATTTGTATTAAAAACAACACTCAATAAACTTGTACATACATTAAATTGCAATTGAAACTTTTATTTTTGGCAGATAGATCAGTAACATTAAATAAGGACACTTTAAGTAAGTAATTGTAAAATGTCTTTAACAGAATTTCTTCAGAATAAAAATATTTCAAACGGATTGAAACGTCTATCTAATAAAGTAACTCGATGCTCAAAATAAAAAATTGAAACTTGATAATAGAAATCGGAGTAAGTACCGTCAGTTGCTGGGAACCTGGCACTCGTGACGTCATAGGGGCGGAGACAATCGCTCGATAGGTCCGCCCATTCCCCTCTATGACTCCGAGCACCCCAATTGCGAGTTCGGAGACGGCTCTCCCCACTCTTTGTCGCGCGACCCGTTTACTGTGCGTCAGCGTCTCAGTCAATCATATACCAGAGGCGAACATCCGTGTGGGGAGGGCGTGCACCTTCGAATCTGACCACTCAGACGAGAGTGCCAGGTTAACTGCAACTGACGGTATATTGCTAGGCTGTTGCTCCTCAGTTTTAAATGCAGAAAGAAGAATAGTGTATCGAATATTGAAATGAGCAAGCTTTGGTCTAACTATTCGAAGTGTTTATGAATGTGTTTATAAATTTTATAATATTTTATAAATGATACAATTATTAGAATAATAGTATTCTAAAAATTAGATTAACAACAAAATTGAACCCGTAGAATGATATATTTTATAAATAATACAATTATTAGGATAATGGTATTATAAAAATTAGATTAACAACAAAATTGTACCAATAGAATGAGATAGAGTCACATAATCGGTGATTGAATAGAGATTAGTTTAAAGTCGAACATTACGAATCTTTTCTCTCCAATAATTTTTCTTGTTTGATCAACTCGAGCACACCGTTCCTCATTTCGAACACTACTTCTCGCTCGGTCAGTCCTAGTCGACGTTTGTTGCTGATATCGTAAATCCCTGCTTCGCTCTCTGTATGCTCGCCTCTAGTGCCTCGTATCTAAACAATTTAGATGACTTTACACTGAATTGATAATACGTAGCTAATAATGCCGCTTATATAACGTCGCGGTGGGCAATTAAATTGCTCGTAATATTGTTTCGGCCTCACTATTAACGTCAATATAGGTTCAATATAAATGTTTTTATATTATACATAGTTTATGCAACACTGTAATCGATATTATACGCGTCATCCCCTTTGTATTGTCGTCGTTACTATTATTAGGTTGGTAACTAAGTTTACGAACTTGACCTTTTTTAAAAATTAATAATTACTTGTATTTAGTTGTAAATTAGTGTTATAAATTACTGTTATACGTTGCTGTTTTCAAATGCATCTTAAATCAAATATCCTAATAATTCAGAGTTATATAGACAAAAATGCAAAAGAAATTCGGAGTGCAAAGGGTTCGTATTAGCTTCCGAGCGAGTCGCATAGACAGAACTCTGAAAGGTTAACCGTTTGCACCCAACAATATTCTTCATTACAAACATTCATTATTTTCTAACGAAATATTAACAGTATTATTTGCAACTTACATAAAGAAACATCTTGCACAAACTACGGGACAGAATCGTTTTATTTCTGTTTCATGTGCTAATACCTTATTCAACATTTTATACTGAACCTTTTATTTTCTAATTTCCCTGGGTTCAATCAAGTGGCGACTACTCAGTCGCCCCTCGAGTGCAAAGGGTTAACAGTCTAAAAGGGAGGCGATACAGTTAATTTAATTTCTCACTTGGAGGTTGTACATGCTTGCGATTTCTTCGAATCTCGGATAATCCGCGCTCAATTTCGGCAGCTGGGCGTGAACAGAGGCCCTGATGGTGGTTCCCAGGTTGGTCGGGCAGAAGGTGAGGAAGCCGAGCCTCCGATGCCGCGAGAATTTCAGTTTCTCTCCAACTTCGGTAACTGCTTTAACAAGCCTGGCGTACACGGACGACAGGTTCCCACCCTTCTCCATCGATATCAGACGCATGTGATCCTCCTCGTTGCACCAGACGAGGAAACTTTTCGCTTCGTTAAAAAATATTCCTCTGCCTGGAAGACCGACGTGGAAAGATGGCGGAGATATACGCACGGCAAGGCAAATTATTTCTCGCCGGGAAAGTTTCGTAGGCGCATAATGCCGGTTCTCCACGGTCAACAAATATTTTTCCCGCGCGACCATCGAAATTTTCCTTATTACTCGACGTTATCCGACGACAGGGGTTGACTTGATATCATTCCCGGAATTCGTAGAAAGTTTCTAATTCCGCGGTCGTCTCGCCTGAGTAGGTCGTGAAATTCTTACGATCGCGCGAGAAATTATATCTTTTATCTTTCCAGTGGTGGTTCGATGATATTCGGATACAGCGGTTTTCGGTTTTAATGTATAGTTAAAAAGTTAGGGTCTGTGTCTGTGTATGTTCTGTTTATATTGTTGGTTGTTCGGTGTCATCGTTGGATTGTGATGGTAGGATTCGGTGGATTTTAGGAGTTTAGGAGTTTTTCAGATGTTAATTGGTGTAATGGAAAACGCAAACGATGAAACGGGGGAAGGAGGATATGTGTGAGTCATATATGACGCATTGGAAGACTTGAGAAATAATGATCTCGAACTGGTCATAATAATTTTATTATCTATAGCAAAGAAGAAACTTAAATGATAAGACAATGAAAGAAGGATATGTACGGGTCAAGCATTACCCATCAGAAGACTTGAGAAATATTGACCTCGAAGTAATCGGAAGAAGTTTATTATCCATAGCAAAGGAAAAACATAAAGGATACAACCCAAAGGATATATACGGGTCAAACATGACCCATCAGGAAACTTGAGAAATAATAATTTCAAACTGACCCAAATAATCAGACGATCCATTCTAAGCGCTGAAAAACAACGCGTCCCAGTGTAACCTATGAAGCAAGCGAACTATAAGCAGCTACGTTCACTCATCTAGTTCTCTTTCCTTGATACGCCCACTATCTGATGCATCGCTCGGGTACATTTGCATATAGAACAAGATGTAAGTCTTGTATCGATTCGAACGTACTCGAAAGGTGGTTCACCGGGTACGTGTCGTCTACTGTGTGTTTCTGATTGCCCCGAGCGCCGTGAAATTGAATTATTAATATCCTGTTTTAGGTACGTCGCGCCACGTGTTCGCGTAACCGACGCGATCGCGCATGCCCGTGTACTAGGAAACGTAGAAACCGAGGGATTCTACCTAAATTCCCCATTAACGTGAACCGAGTTCCGTCTTTTTGTATAATACATTACACGGGAACCTTTTTAACCAGCGCCCGCCGATTTTCAACCCATTTGCAGCCGTAAGCGGAACATTCCGCGCACGACGATCGTCAGCTATCGCCGAGCGCGAATTGTTCCGCGAGCCGCGACTTTTATTTATTATACTTTGTCATTTTTGTTATTTATTTTCCTTTTTATTTATTTATCACCGGACACAAAATATTCCGCGTACAACGCGGTTCGCTTTTCATTATCAATCTTTCATTATCATGTCCTCGACGAATTTCAGTTTTGTCAACACGTTGACTGCCACGAGAATTTCGATCGTTTCGTTTTAATAAGATTAAATGACGTTGAACACCGCACGATTTCATCGAGCAAAATACACACAATGGAAAAAATATGATATTAAATCGTTCGATTGAATTGATTTCTTTATGATTGACACGTTCATCTGGCTGAACGTCATCTTATTAGGTAGCATTATTTGGAATATAGAAATGTTTTCAAATAATCATCGTTTCATTGAGTGAACTATAGTAATTCGATTTGATTGGGTGTCACAAATAGTGTTAGAAATAATTATTAATGCTTTGTTATTACGGTATTTATATTACACTATTATCTAGCTTCTCGCGTTACTAAATATTTTCATTCAATATCAATTTTCTTGTTGTAATTGTTTTCGAGCAATTTGGAAGCTCGGTTCACCGGTGACCACCATAGTAGTCAACGTGTTAAATGTATAACAATATATACTACTATCTTTTGTTTCAATGATTACTTGGAATTTTCCTTGGAAATTATGTACAACGATTGAAACAAAAGATAGTACATATTGTAAAATAGTACAAGTATTGTATATACTCTCGAGTGCAAAAGGTTAATAAACTGTTTTCTTATCATTTCGTTTATCAACTTTGACTGTTTGAACATTAATTATTACCACGCACTGACTTTCCATACTATTGAGTTTTGAACCCATGTGCACTGAGTTATCTCACTAAGTTCAGTTTGTTGTGCATACTCTATAATTTATTCGGAACGATTTTGTTACACCTTGTATATTACATGAGAACCTGTTCAACCAGCACACGCCGATTTCAACAATTAACTTCCGATGTTATAGTTATAGGAATCTGTTTCGAACACACGATGCGTAAATAACTTTATGAAATTTCATTAGCTGCGTCGATTAAATAACACTCGCAGTTTGTGCAAGGAATTACTTCGAAAATAAACCGAGCCAGCGAGCCTCAGCTTCGTCTGAACGCAAGACGTCAGCGGTAAGCATTTCGGTTAACCAGGGAGTAATATTTCTGTAAACATTGTTCGAGGCTACTACAGAAAACTGATGGTAATCTAAACTTACAATTAGCATATGCCTCGTACATTCAAGGGAATTAATGAATTTACCTTAGAAATTAATGGTTTAATTTCGTTCAAATTTCGTTCAATCTGACCGTAATAATTACACTGACCGACTAAATAATTGTATGATGCATACGTGTATATGCACGGTTGTTTATATATTTTACAGAATAATAATTGCAAAGATAGTTACTGGAGTAAAGAATTATTGCAATAGAATTGTATTCTATCGAAAAAGAATATTGATAATACTTCACAAAGAAAACTTGTAATATAACCAAAGTTCAATCTCTTACGCAGAAGTAAATATTTTATGTCGGTAATTTACTTATTTATTAATCTATAATTAGAGTAAAATAAACAATTCTCTGTTTCTGTATTCTAAATCTACAAAAATTCCTTCCTATCGATTTCTGTAAGGAAAAATTGTTTGACAATTCGATTTAGAAATTCTGAAATCCCATGAGTATTCCTTTCCACTAATAATTATCGCTTATTGTTAACACGTTGAATGCCGCACGATATCAAAGCAAAATACACAAAATGGAAAAGATATAATATTAAATCATTTCATAGAATCGCGTTATCATTATTGCGCGCTCATCTTGTTCAATGTCGTCGCATTAGGTAGCATTATTCGTAATATACAAATGTTTTCAAATAATCGCCGTTTCATTGAATGAACTATAATAATTCGATTTGGATGAGGTCACCGGTGACCCCCATGGCATCCAACGTGTTTAATTGCTGAAAATTTAAATACAAAAGGAAAAGATGTATGTACAATTGTGTTTTGAAGATTCTTCGCAATAATCATAACAACGACGATTATAATAGCAATAATAATAATAGTAATAATAATAAAGTAATTGCAGTGTAGTAACATATTCGCATTTTTTTGTAATTCTCATATATATTTTGGATAAATGAGTCACAAAAATCCATGTCTAAGTTGTTTGATAAACAATTCCTCATTTTTATTCACATTTTATTGCTCTTTTAAAGGGCAGAAATTGCTTCTGATTTCCAAATATAAAAACGTATAAATATTTGCAAAATATTTTGCTACTTGGTAGAATACAATCTTACTATGAACAAGCACAGTATATACTGAACACTGAATTCAAAATCAGGCCACCACATATTTTTAGTAAAAATTCTGATTGTATAAATTACTAAAGATTCAAGTAATTTAAGAGAGCATTTATCCCCGTAATTCATTACAAATTATTTTATTAATTACATTCACATTTGAGACTTAAAATTACAATGAATATCTCTGTATGATATGTGTTGCAATGAATATCTCTGTATGTTAAATGTCTGTACAGCGTGTTTGAAATGGTGTGTGTATGTGTGTGTGTGTATACGTGTCCAAAGGTTTACGTTCGATCGATTACCCAATTAAAAAGTAAAGGAACTCGCTAAAGCACCGAATACGCTTCATCAAAGTATAAGCATTCGTGGGAACAATAATTGCATTTTTCCAAGTACTCATAAGGAATTCGCTCGTTCTACTATTGCTTTATTGATCTGATTTCTCTTCTCGCGTGGTCGAGTATCCTAAGAGTCTACTGTACTTTCGAAAAGTCTACTTGAGAACTTTATTGTTTTCGAGAAGAATGCTTTTTGTGTCGTCAAAAATGTATTTCAATATAAAGTTGTACAAAGCTACATATATAAATTTAAGGAAAGTAATTGGGACCAATGTGGAATACGTGAATAATATGTCTGTGGAAAGAGAAAAAGGGTTGGAAGGCTGGGAAATAATTATTCAAATGTTTCAAGGAATAAATTCTGGTCTATTGACAGTAAATTACGTTAGTATTTAAGTTATACGACTAAAAGCTAGAGTTAGTTTTGATAGTTAATAACTGAGGTTTTATTTTAGTTGAGTTAGTAGTAGATCAGTCTTAAAGTCTGTACCCATTGATATGTGAATGTTATATATTTTAATACTGAGAGTACTGAAGAAACCTCTTATAAATACAAATAGATTTCGTTGGATTTGAGTAATTGAAGAATTTTGAATTAGAATAATTGTAAATAATTGTAAATACTTGTAAAATAATTGTAAATAATTGTAAATAATTGTAAATAATTCTAAATAATTCTAAATGTAAATGTATTTAACAACCGAGCACAATGGAATGCCACTGTGAGCGAAGCCTTACACGAGAGCCCCACGTTTCCGTAATTCGATCCTCCCATGGTGAGTAATTGAAGGAAAAAGAATAATATGGCTGAAGGATACTAATTGTAACGTAAATAACAAGCAATGGTAGCCAGAAGCGAGAGCCAAGTTGTTATTAGTGCAGATCAAAGAAGCGAAAGCAATAGTTGGCCGAACAGGGCAATCGAATCCGGAAAGAGGGAATGTTCAATTACACCCGCTTGAAACTATATGGAAAAGCTTTCACGATAACTAGATATTTCATG